TACTCGCCGATATGTTTGCAGGGCTTGCTCTAAACGTTTTATTCGGAGAGATACTTTTGAGGCACATAAGCATAAACATTCTGCATTCTTACCATTCATCTGTGAATTTGAAGGTGAATAACTTAAATTATTGTCAAATTCCTTATTTTACCTAACAATGCATTAATCTAAATATAAGATCTTTCTAGCTTAACTATATGTTCTTTATAATCTAAAGGGGTAACTATTTATCTATATTGTTATGCTCATCTTCCATTTTTGTTTGTAGACTGTGATAAAAGATTTCTTACGCTTTCTGCTCTGTTCGAGCATCGTAGAATTCACGAGCCTCAGTGTGATCTCACCTGTAAGGTTTGTAATCGAATCTTCGTCTCCAAGCATGCTTATGAGGTTTGTAATATTATATATGCTCTTAATACTTGGTCATTTACACTATACTAATTTATAACTTTTTAATTAATTTTTCATCTCAAATTCAATATGGTAACTAACTTATCACTCTCTTTATCTTCATATTGGACCATCCATTTATAATTTTAAATTAATGTACATTCTTGAAGTACTGTATCTAATCACAATTTATAACAACTAAACATGATTCTTAAATTTGGATATGCTTTATGGGCCTGGCTATTTAACGTAACATTTTCAACTAATTTCGCGAGTTTCGGGTATTTTATATATATTATTTGCCCATAAAACAGTTTTTTCACTTAGTGTATTTTTATTCCATTATACTTGACATTATCCGCAGGTTCATTCAAGGATGCATGTCCGGCAGCGTGACTTCGTCTGTTCTGTTTGTGGAGCATCCTTTTGCCAATTCAAAGCTCTAAAACGGCACTGCTTTGACGTTCACGCATTTACTCTAAAAGATACCATAATATCTAAGGCGTTCGATGATAATATTGACCCAGAAAAATCAATAACTACATATACTGGAAATGATTACCTGGAAGCCTTAAAACTTGACACAGACGACGAGAACATCGAGTATACGGATGCAGACAAGTCCAGAACAACTGATCAGTCGGTAGGGAAGCGATGCAGATCTCGCTTAAAAGATCCGAGTGATGATCCAAATGATCTTGACTGGACAGAGACCGAACAAGCAAAGCGTTTATTTTCAGGAGTCAGGAAGCGTAAGATTGATAGTTCTTCGAAATGCAGCAATTCGCAAAAACGTAAGTTAATGACTCGTTGTCCTTTGATTTTAATTTTGTTATTGTGTTTGCATAAATATGTTTATAGTTCTTAAGGA